GCCCTCCTATCTAAGTAAAGAAAAGAATGCTAAGTTTGCATATTTGCTGCCTACATGAATATTTATCCCAAGCAGAGACTGGCCCGACTAAAACAATTATGGAGAATTGAAAGCCTGACCCGCTTGTAAAACTGTACATTGTCTTATTCCTCAAAGTGGGCTGCAACCATGCTTTGGGGTCTGGGGCAGGGAGGGAATCAAGCCACAAGATGAACAGGGTAAACATTTAGATGCTTCAATTTTACTGTATTTATGAGTGTGGGGAAGACATTATGTTCCTATCAAAAACAAACATGGCGATGGATGGACTTGGAGATGGTCATTCTAAGTGAAGTAAGCCAGAAAGAGAAAGAAAAATACCATATGATATCACTTATATGTGGAATCTAAAAAAAAAAAAAAAACGGACAAAGGAATTTATTTACAAAACAGAAACAGGCTCACAGACAGAGAAAACAAACCGATGGTTACAGGGGCGGGTAGTGGGGGAGAAAGGGGTGGGAAGGGAGAAATTGGGAGTTTGAGATTTGCAGATACTAATACATATAATAATAAACAAGTTCATACTATATAGCACAGGGAACTATATTCGATATCTTGTAGTACCTTACGGTGAAAAAGAATATGAAAACAAATATGTGTACGTTCGTGTATGACTGAAGCATCATGCTGTACATCAGAAATTAACACAACATTGTAAACTGACTATACTTCAATAAAAATACATATATACAAAAAAAAATGGCGATATTGTGGAACAGAATGCAAAAGTCACACAAGTTTCTCAATATTATAGACATTTTGAGCTGGCAGCTACATCCACAGGGTCCTCCCAGGTCCTCCTTCATTGGAGGGGTTCTTTGTGGAACCATGTGTAAAGTGCCCCCATAGCTGTCAGGAAGCAATAACTTGCCAAATAAAAAGGCAAGTATTTCTGATGTGCAAGTTTCTATTCTAGATTAGATTGGATACATTTCATATCATGTATCAATATGAGTAACAGGATCTTAAAGCACCTTCTAGGTAACTGGTTCTCAACTGGGGACAAGTCTGCCCCACCCTACCTGGGGACATTTGACATTTGTCAGCAACTGAGAACATTTTTGGTTGTCACCACTTGTTGGGGGGTTGCTGCTAGCATCTAGCACTCAACATCCTATAATGCATAGGACAGCGCCCCTCAACGATTAATTTCTCAAACTAAAATGTCAATGGTGCTGAGGATGAGAAACCTTGTTCCTGCTAACGTGTATATATACACAGAAAACAGTGGTCTGAAGGCCAAAGTCAGGCCTAGGGGATCAGGGCCCACAGTCACAGTGTAAGGGAAGGAGGCATATATCTACCTAGACCAGGGCAGGAGACAAAACCTGCCCCTGGGAACAGAGGTTCAGCTGGTGGCCAGACCAAGCAGAGGAGTGGGTTTAGAATTCGGGCCATGAATAAAGCTGCCATGCAGTCTTTGCAGACTTGCTTTGGTGGAAGGTTCTGCTAAGCATGTGGTCAGAGATAACGCCATCTCCTCGAGAAAAGCTGCCTTAATCCTCCAGATGGGAGTAACTACTCCCCCTCAGTTCTCAGGCTATAGGTCTGAGGCCTTATTTTCTCACCCACTACATTCTACACTGGTCCCCAAAGTGTGAGCTCCTGCAAGACAAGATTCCATTTTCAAATATCTCTTCTTGGTCCACACTATTACAGCACATAGTAATGCTCATAAAATGGTTGCTGAATTACATAAATGCTGTATTCTCTTCCCAATATTAGAAACTCTGCATATGCACATTTGCATAAAACATATTAAATGGGAAGGAAAGAAGGAAGTGATCTACTATTTTCATCTGGGAAGATCATTTAGCAAAGTCTATCATCAAAGACCCGTGCACACTTCTTTTTCAGTGCTAATCATCTGCCTGACTGCCTCCTGCCTCTTCTTTAGCCTTTTTAGTAGTTTCCAGCAGTAATGCAAATTAGCTTGAAATTTCATTGGTGCATTTCATAAAAGGGTCACAATCTTGGTTAATGTTTTTTAGACACAAATGCCCATCATCAAAGCCCAGAGCAAAGTTTGCCTAGCCTTCACTATTCAACTTTTTAAAAATTTAAGCTCTGTAGTTTATTAATTTGCTAATGAATTTTCCCTTGGAAGGGGTCGTTTGACTCTGGTCAGCTTTAATTATAACGGAAAAATTCATTTAGGCTTTCTCCTTCCTCTCCATATTCAAAAGCAACCATTTTATAGAATGAGAAGGAATCAAGCATTTTTGAAATAAAAGACAATTTGCCATGTTAAAATATTCTGGGCAGGTTCAGTAACCTCCTGTTCTTTACATTCCTAAAATGTAAGAAACGTAAGAACTCATCTTAAGCAATCCAAATTCTTCAACTTCACTTACAGAGTCAATCAAAGGGTTATTCTTCACCCCACAAAATCATTTACTGAAAGATTCAACCCAAGATTATTTTCATTCAACAGCACTTATTCTCAAACCCCTTCAAATTTAGATGGTATTTATACAGCTTTTGAGGAACCAGAAGGACTTTCAAAGAGCCAAAAAGGAATGATGAAAGAGCCCAATCCCTTAGTTTTGCATTAAGGAAACTGAGGCTTAGAAGTCGATTTGAACTCTCAGAGCTACATAATGACAACAGCTAGGACTTATCAAGGACCACGGATCCTCACAGCTTCATCACTTCCCCGTGTCTAAGCCACCGTTCTCTCTTGCCTGGGTTGGTGCTGCAGCCTCCTGAGTCCTGCTTCTACCCTCCATCCTGCCCACTGCCCTCCCCACAGAGACCACTCGCCATAGCAGCCAGAGGGTACAGAAGGCAAACTATGTCACTCCTTTGCTCAGAAACCTCCATTGTCTTCCCACCTCTTTCGAGCAAAAGCCAATCTTCACACAGTCTGCATGGCCTATTCCATTTCTAATTACTTATATCTTTGGTCGCTGCAACCCAGGTGCACCCAACACCTTCACATACTTCACCCTGGGGACTTTGCCCTTGCAGTCCCCTCTGCCAGTAGACTCTTCTCCCACACTTCCAAATGCCTCCCCACCCTCCCTTCCTTCAGGGGGTCCTTTCCTCATTCTACCATAGGCGGCTTCCCTGATCACACTCTGTAAATAGCACTGCCCCATCTCCTACCTTTCTCTTTTGCCTTACTTGCTTTACTATTTTTTCTAACACTTTCACCATCTGATATATTATATATATTTATTTGTTTATTGACTGCCTTTCCCCACTAGAATGCAAGATCAACAAAAAAGTCCACTATGGATTCCCTAGAGCCTGGTCCATGGCAGGTCCTCAGGATGTTTATAGAGTCAGTGACTCCTACGTGCCAGATACTTTTCTAAGGAAGATACAGGAACCAATTTACTTAATCTTCGCAGTAACCCGAGATGGGCGCTATTGTCAGCATCGCTGTCACCTCTGGTTCACAGATGAAGAAACTGAGGCACAGAGAAGTCATCCAAGATCACCCAGCTAGCTAATTGTAGAGCCAGGATTTGAACCCAGGGCACAGGCTCTTTAATCACCATGATGTATTGTGTCACTCTTAGCTTAGCTAATGACAAAAAAAACTACTTCAATGAGTTTTCCCCATACCAAACTCTCAGAAGTTGAGCTATACCAAAGCGTGCTTTCAAAATGTCAATAGTTTCCTTTGACTGCCTAACATTTTAAAATAATCAATAAGGTGTGATTTTGAGCTAAGACTGGTAAACAAGAACAAAAGAGTGAGCCACAACAGTGCTGCACTTCAGTCTCAAATTCAGAGCACACAAAGGATATGACTGTGGCTTACAGGCGTGTGCAGGTAATTCTCCCTACTTGACTGAGATTACCATGATTAGCTCTGGTCCATAAAGGGAAAGCTAAGAAACAAAAGCCTCAGTGATGTTCCAGGCCACACAGCCATCAACAGCGGCAGGAAGGGAGACTCTGAGGGCCCCTCTGGGATTGCAGCAGGTCACACATGCTCCCTGCTTATTAGTGTAAAACACCCTGGTGATTCACACAGTGGAATGTTTAAGCCAAGATGTCACTTAATAAAGGGTATGTCGATACAGCTTTATCTGTGAAGTTACATAATCATCCTAATGTGGAAATGCCATAAAGGAATTTGTGCCTTGGAATAAAGAGCCGTGTACCCTCTGGGGATTACTCCACAAAGGATATCAAGAGATTTTCAGTGAGAAATTCACTAGCCTAGGCTGGGCAGGTGACTTGTTTAAAATGGTCCAATGAGGGCTTTCTGGGGCCAGTTATTGTGCTCAGTTCAAGTTGTTAAGACTCTGCCAGACCCCAGCCTGAGAGAGCCTCCAGGGACCCCCAGACTTGCCTATCCTTCCACAGGGGAGGAAGGTCTGTTCTGTATTAATCTCCTGAAATATAAAAGTCCCTACAGTGAGTCCTATATGCCTCTTGCTTTTAGGTCAGATATTCATTTCTGCAAGCCTAGAGACCTTTCATTATCTTTCTACCCTAGAAAGCCCAATGAATCTTTCCGCGCACTTTGTTGGAATTCTCCGAAAGAAATCTTTGAATACCAGCTCCACCCCCAACCTTCCCTTGACCTCGGCCTCCACTGTCCCACCGTCCCCAGGACCCGGCCGGAGAAGGAACGGGGTGGTCGGAGAGGAGGGGCGGAGATGTCACAAGTACCTGTCACCTGGCAGGCCCCGGCCCTCCCTTCCGCATC